GGAGTGTTCAGAACTTAGAAAAGTGGTAAGTGGGTATCAGCTGAGACACCTTAGTCTGAGGTGTAATATTTACCAAGGCCCAAGGGTACATGCCCTGTCGCCATCTTAGAGCTAGGAAGAATCTATTTAGTCTCTAGGATACCAAGGAGTCGGGATGGCTCTCAAGCCAACTGAATACCAGAGATCTCAATCACTGCCCACTTCTGAAAGTCCATGGGGAAAATAGATGGCCCTTGAAGCTTCCATTAGCTGCTGCTGAAGGTACTCTGGGGAGGGCTATAGATTATGAATGGATAGGGAAGAGACCTGGAGAGGAGAAAGGGTGGGAGAGACTTGGGGATGGTTTTGGTTTGGGTTTCGGGGAGAATTGTGTAACTCCCGCTTGAGAAAGAAACTACTGAAGATTGCCCTCTTCCAAGAGCCCCCACTTCACAGCCCTGCTCCCCTCTTACCACAAAATGCAGGGCTTGAAGGCCTCTGAAAAATCAGATAGTCTGATTCTCACTCCATGGTGGGAGCCTGAGACACAAAGATAAGAGGTGACCTGCCTTGTGTGACCAGGAAACTAGACACCCCCCTCCATCATTGCGACCTCCACCACATATCCCTTCCAGGACCATACTGCTGATTTACCCCAGAGGGGCTCAGTGCACAGTGGCCTGTCTTCCATATGAGTCCCTAGAATAGAACCACTGGCTTTGCCAGGTCTCTCCTAGGGACCCAGGTCTATTCAAAGCCTCAAAGCTGCCTGGATGAACCCAAGGAACTCTTGGCAGAACAAACACAGTATCTTCACTTCTGGGGCAGGTGGGTTCTTCCTCTGAGTTCCCTGGGGAAAGTGTACTGGTCTGTGTTTGGATGGATCTGGAATCTAACCCTGCCTTCCTGACCTCTCACTGACTGTGGCTAGTCAGTTTACCCAGTCTCAAGATCTAGGACACATACATGCAGTTATGTAGGCTGGACACTTGAAAAGGCAATTGACCAAGGGAACTAGCTGGAGTGTGTGTATTAAGATCCTGCCTTTGGTGTTCTTACAATGGTGAGCAGAGATGACATGGGGGTAGCCTCTGAGGTCCAAATGGTGATTCTAAGGGGGAAGCTTGAAGATGCCAGTCAAAGAGACTCAGTGCTTGTATAGACTGGTTTCTTCCTTCTCCAGGGTTCTCCAGCCTTTATCTTGTCCCCTTTTCCCCTCTCTCCAGGGCTCAGCCTGTTGCTGCTACCCTTGCTTCTGGTACAAGCTGGTTCCTGGGAGTTCCCAACAGACCCCCTGAGTCTTCAAGAGCTGCGCAGGGAATTCACAGTCAGCCTGTACCTTGCCAGGAAGCTGCTTTCTGAGGTTCAGGGCTATGTCCACAGCTTTGTGAGTCTTCTTAGTGCAATTGGGTCTGGAGGTGAGGACACCCCTAAGTCCCACTGGCCCTCACTAACAGAACTTACCCCTCAGGCTGAATCTCGCTTGCCAGGAGTGAACCTGGACCTCTTGCCCCTGGGACACCATCTCCCCAATGTTTCCCTGACCTTCCAGGCATGGCGTCACCTCTCTGTGAGTAAAGGGTAGGGGGTGGGGATACTGGCAGTAAAGCATGGTACGTGGACAAGTGTTTGAGCAGATGTGGGTCTGCAGATTTGTGTGGTTAATATGTCTCTATATGAAGGTGAAATTGGAAGCTGAGGGCAGTGGTACACATCTGTAATCCCAATATTTGGGAGGCAGAGACTAGAATTTGAGAAATATAGAGGAACAAAGAGGGAGAGGGAGCATTCTGGGATTTGAAAATGGGAACCAGAAGATGGTGAGCAAGACACTGGGTGGGGGGGGAGGCAGGGTTGGGAATGGAGGTAGCTGTGGGAAAGAGATGGGCTCGTAACTAAGATGGGAGTGGGGTTAAGTCAGAGAGAAGACAGTTGTGGCTATGGGTGAAAATTGGGTTGGAGATGGAAGAAGGAAGTGCAATGGACAAAAACAGTGAATCTGAGCCTATGGAGGGAGGTGTATTTGGGTTAAGAAAGAGGGCTGGAGAGATGGCTAGGCGGTTAAGAGCACTGACCACCCTGCCAGAGGTCCTGAGTTCAATTCCTAGCAACTACATGGTAGCTCACAACTATGTGTAATGGGATCCAATGCCCTCTTCTGGTGTGTCTGAAGAGAACTACATAAAACTACAGCATTATGTGTGTGTGTGTGTGTGTGTGTGTGTGTGTGTGTGTGTGTGTGTGTACGTACGTACATACATACATACATACATACATACACACATACATACGAATGGGAATGTGGGAATGAGGTGGGAAAGCAGGTAGAGATGCCAGAACAGGATATGACTGACAGATTTTATGGATGGCAAAGGAATGAATGAAGCTGTGGATGGAGGGAGTGGGTTGAGGAGAAGAGTATAGGCTAAGAAGGCGATGGGACTGACCTCATAAACAATGATAGGAGAAAGCAAGAACAAATCCAAGGACACTAGTGATATGGCTCAGTAGAGGAAGGCTCTTGCTGCCAAGGCTAACAACCTGAGTTCAGTCCCTGGGACCCACATGGTAGGAGCAGGGAACTAATTTCACCAAGTTGTCCTCTGACATCCACAAGCATGTGCACAGGTACACATATACACATGGTATAAATAAAAATGATATAATACTTTTTGTTGTTATTTTGGTTCTTTGAGCCAGGGTATCACTATTTACCCTGACTGTCCTGGAACTCACTAAGTAGACCAGGTTGACCTCTGACTCACAGAGGTCCATCTATATCTGCCTTCGGAGTGCTGGGATTAGATGTGTGTGCTGCCATGCATGAGATAATACAAATTTTAAAGCATAAACTTGTGGATGAAATGGAAGCTAGAATCAAAAAGAGACCCACCTAAAGATAGAGCTCAAGTTGGTGTTCTACAGCTGTCTCTTGACCATTCCCCCTTCTCTTCAATAGGACTCTGAGAGACTCTGCTTCCTCGCTACCACACTTCGGCCCTTCCCTGGACTATTGGGAGGGTTGGGGACCCAAGGGACCTGGACCAGCTCAGAGAGGGAGCAGCTGTGGGCCATGAGACTGGATCTCCGGGACCTACACAGGCACCTCCGCTTCCAGGTAGAATGCGCACTGTTCTCTTGACCCCAGGGATCTACAAGCAAAACGGGCTCACTGGCTCTCTTTTGAAACACCTCTGGGAATCAGAAGCTTAGTGAGACACTTCAGCTTCTGTGAGTGAGATCCTAGATCCCTATTCTGCTCAAAAGTCACTGCCTGCTCTTGAGGGCTGGACTCCAGTGAAAGAGCCGTGGGACAGCCCCTGTCATCTTCAGGCCCCATATTCGTTCTCTCCTCCCTCCAGTTCCGACTTCACTCAGATTCTCCAAGATAGTTCAAAGGTCAATAAAAATTTTACTTTAGTAAAAAGAAAATTGAAAATGCAAGACAGGAAGTACCTGTGTCACTTCCTTTGATCCTGAAAAATCCTTAACAGCAGAAAATTTCCTGACCAATGATCCCCAGGGGAAGGCAATCCCACCCAGTTTGCAGTATCTTGCTCTACCAGGACCATTTTTTTAAGATAGATAGATAGATAGATAGATAGATAGATAGATAGATAAAAGGTAAGGGGACTGGAGAGAAAGCCTGGTAGTTAATGGCACTGGTTGTTCTTCCCAAGGACTTGGGTCCAGTTCCCAGCATCTATGTGACAGTTCACAACTGTCTATAACTCCAATTCTAGGGGCTCTGATGCCTTTTCTCACCTCCTTGGTACTTGGTAAGTGGTGCACATACATGCAGGCAAAACACCAATACACATAAAATAAATTTAAAGTTTTTTTTAAATCTAGTATCCCAAGTGTGGTGATGCATCCCTGTAGTCTCAAACACTTGGCAGGCTGAGGCAGGAGAATTGTGAATTCAAGGCCATGCTGTGTCTATGTAGGAAGATGCTATAAAATAAACAAACACAAAAAACCTAGAGCTGGAGAGATGGCAACAGCAGTTAAGAACACTTGTTGTTCTTGCAGAGGATAAATGCTAACAAACACCCAGCACCCTCTCTGGGCTCCAAGAACACCCGTCATGCAGGCAGTGCACATACACACACATAGGCAAATGCTCATATATACAAAATAAAAATAAATGCATACACACACAAACACACACACACATACACACACACACTGGAAAGATAGCTCAGCAGTCAAGAGCATGGTTTGTCTTGCAAACGACCCGAGTTTGAGTCCCAGCATCCACACAGTGACTCACAACTGTCCTTAACTCCAGTTCCAGAGGACCTGATGTTTCGTCTCACCTCCTTAAGCACTGCACATATGTGGTACACATCTGTACACATAAAATTAAATAAATAATAGAAATGTTAAAGGGAAAAGAAATAGAATGCAAGACTCAAATAAGGACATGGCTAGATTAGATAAAGACTTTGAGCCCGTAAGTCTGAGGTGGAGGCTCCCCAGAGCAACCGCGGCCAGTGGTCACCGATGCCATCGGAGGTGATGGACAACAAAAGGAATGGAGACTCTCTTAGGTTCTTGATGTGGCTCTGTGCGACCCATGGGTCTTTCCTCACAGGTGCTGGCTGCAGGATTCAACTGTTCGGAGGAGGAGGAAGAGGACAAGGAGGAGGAAGAGGAGGAGGAAGGGAAGAAGCTGCTCCTATGGGCTCTGGGTGGCTCCAACCACGTATCGTCCCAAGTGTCCTGGCCCCAGCTGCTCCATACCTACCAGCTCCTACACGCCCTGGAGCTTGTCCTGTCTCGGGCTGTTCGGGACTTGCTGCTGCTGTCCTTGCCCAGGCTCCCAGACTCAGCTTGGGATTCCTAACACCTAGCTTCAAGCCCTGTGGAGTGGCCTTCCAGCTCCCTCCCCTCACCCATTAAGACTCTAAGGCTGGAGTCTGGCCAACTGTGCAGGACAGTCTCTAGCTCATTTGCCTTAGACCAGGCAGGGCTTCACTAGTTCCCAACCCTAACTCAATAATTTAAAAGCCCTCCAGTCCTTACCAGATATTTATTTCTTGGATATTTATTTATTTTTAGGAAATGGTTTATTTATTGTTTGATTCTTGAGTTAGGCCACCACCATGCTGGGTGCCTAATAAAGTCGTCCAACCCAGTTTGTGTTTCCATGTCTTTTCACAGGAAGGTCTGACACCTAAAGAACAGAACAGTTTGGGAAAGAGTTGGGGAGGGGGGAAGCTTTCAGCCACCCAGAACCTCTCTCTACTCCTATATTCTTTGAGCTCCTGGGCAACATTCCCCAGCTCTGTCATGGAGGTTAGCATAGTAGCCTGCAGAGTTGTGATACTGAGCTGTGATTTTGGAAACTCAAAGCAACTGGTCTGTTGCACGTCGCCACCGACTCCAAGTGGTGTCCCTTGGCCCTTGACCCTCTTTCCTTTGAGGTGGCTTCCACCCCAGAGGTGTGCTATCTTACACAGCTCTCTGTGGGGATCCATCATGATGGGTAATTGGGAGGCAGGTGATCATACAGTGGAAATTTAGGGAGAAATAGTCTCCCCAACCCTGTCTTCCTTGAAGTCTTCCGAGTAGCTGAGACAGATGGGAAAGGCGACCAGGAAAGGAATCCACGATCGATGCCAGTGGAGCAAGTCCCCCACTAACAATCAGACTCCTTAGATTCAAGGTCTTCAAAAATATCTAGTTTCGATGAGATCCAGAGGGTGAAAAAGGTGTGCTCCAGTGGCTGAAGGAGTCAAGGGGAACCAGGGTCCAGAAGAGCCTTCAGACCCTCCCTTAGGAGACCTCTCTCACGAGAGCTCTAAGCTGTCACTGTGGCTTTGGCTGGCTCAGTCGGGCTTGCAGCTCCTGCATCATGCCAGGATGAGCGAAGCCAAACCTGTAGAAGGAACAGGACCCATGGGAGCCGTGGGAGCTGGACCCCCAGGTTCCCACAGCCTCCTCACCATCCCAAGCAGGTGCCCCTGTGCCTACCCATGCCCCAGCACTTTTCTTCTGGCTGGCACTGGAGTCCCTTCAGGCCTTGTGGCACTTAGCTCCGGAGTTTCCTCTAGCTGAAGAGGGGACTGCTCAGGGACCTGCAGCTCCTCCTGGGGTTGGGGACTGGGAGGGTCACACTGCTGCTCAAGAACAGAGATTCGACGGAAAGAGGGCCTTGAGCGCCGCCGTGAGGAGCTTCGAGAGAGGAGCACACGACTCCGAGGGACAGAGACATCCAGGCGGGACCCAGGGAGTAGGGCCTGCAAGGCAAGGGACACAGAGGTCTGTGGAGAACTGACTTCCAGATTCTGCTTATCCCTCTTGGGGCCCTACTGAAGCGCTCACCTCATTCCAGTTGCTGTGAATATCCCCTGGGGCACCTGCTGTGGCCTCATCCGATTCCAAGGGCCCAGGCACAGCTACTGTGGGGATTTGGTGTATCTGCTGCCCCTCCTGGCCTGAAGACTCATCCAGACCAGGATGGGTCTCCTGGATCTCTGTCTTCTGTGCTTCGCATGTGGCATCCTCTTCCTCCCGTAGCTTTCGGATCTCGCCCTCTGAGTTGTGGACATTCTGCTCTCGTGACTGCCCTCCCCCAACCTCTTCTTTCGACAGCATCTGATCTCTTAGGAGCCCTTCAGTCTCCACAGTGGCTATGGACCCCTCTGCTCTCTCTGTCTGGGAGCCTAAAGTCACACCATCCATCCCTCTTGTTTCTTCTGCCATTACAGATGTCTCCATCTCTGCCTGCTCCCCCTCTTCAGGCCCATCAATTTTTTGGATATCATAGCCAGACAACTTCTCCTCTGCTGAGCCCTCCAAGCCAACTTCCTGCCCACTTTGTTTCTCCGTGGCCTCCTCCAGCTCCATGTCTTTCCCAGCCTCCCCTCTGCCCTCGAAATACCAGGCTTTCCCAAACTCCGTTTCTGGAGCCACAGCTTCCCATTTTGACCCTTCCTCGGCATCTGCAGTCCTGATACCCACAGTAATCTCATCAGCCAGATAACTGGTCTGTGTGTCCTCACTGCCTTGCAGACTCAGAGCCACCTCCTCCAGCCTCCTCTTCCTGCAAGTCCCATTGGCCTCCCAAAGCATTACAGCCTCCACAGCAGCCCCGTTTTCTGTGGGCTTGGATTCCTCCACTGACTGTCCTGTTCCTGCCTCTGATCCTTGGCTTCCCTCCAGCTCTGGGTTAAGTGCTATGGAGGTCAGTTCCTCCTCTCCTCCTGATCCGAAGACCTCTGGCTGTTGAGCCTCCTGGCCTCCTTCCGCCTGGACCTCCACAGCCTGCTCAGTTGCAGTCTGTTCCTTGCCTGCTTCAGCATCTGCATTTACCTCCTGGCTATTACTGCTGTCTACACCCCTACTCCAGTGTCCCCAGGCTTCTAGCTCAGGACCTGCAAACCCCACAGGCCTAGGATATTCCTTCAAGCTTAGTATCCCCTCTGGGCTCAGGTCTGGAGCTCCACTTGTCTCTTCCTGACCCTTCTGTCCTTCCTCAAGTTGTTTAGTCAAGGTCTGGGAACCTCTCATCAGCTCAGGGTCCAGTCCTTCAGCAACCTTTACTCTCAATATCTCTGGTGTCATCTGAGCTGCTTCACTCTTCTCTTGCACAAACAGCTTCTCAGTCCTGGCTTCTAGAGAGTCTTCCCAGTCAGGCTCATCTTTAGCCTCCGTATCTAAGACTGGTATAGCCTCTGTGGTCCAGGAGCTCCTTTTCTCCCTGGAGGATTCTTCTGCCTGCACCTCCTCTTCCAGACTCATTTCATTATCCCTGATGGCCAAGTCTTGCCTCTCCTCTTCCTCAAAGCTGTACCCTGTCTCCTGGTCTGCCACAACCCCGCTTCTGGCTATCTGGCTTTCAGTCATCTCTCTGGTTCTCTCGGCCTCCAGGGTCTGGATCGGAAGCCTAACTTCAGCCTCTCTCTTCTCATTGATTGCATCCTGCTGGCCTCCCTTGACAGCCTCTTCTAGGACCCAGACTCTCCCAGTAGCTTCTGGGGTGCTGTCTCCTGGGTCCAACCCACATTCTGCTTCCTGAATTCCTGGGCTATCAGCCCCCTCCCTGCCTAAGACTGTCCAGACTTCTCTACTCAACATGGCCCAGTCCTCAGACTCTGCCCCTGGGCATTGTGTCCCCTGTGCCCTTGCACTTTGGCCATCCCTAGTTGGGACCATCCTCTCCTCTTCCTTGTCAGCCCCTTTGGCACCAAACTGCTCAACTTCAGCAACTATGTCTTTGGCCACCCAGTCTATCTCTTTGCTGTCCTCTGTCACATTCTGCCCCTCAGTTCCAGCATTCCCCTCAGGCTCTCTGTGCCAGGTTGGCCATGACTCCACCCCCCTGGCCATCCCTGGCTCTGCAGCTCTGACCACCTCCTCCTCTTCTCCCTTCTGTTCACAGGTTCTCAGTGGCTCCCCAGTGCTCAATTCCTCCTCGCTGTGCTCCCAGATCTCCTGGGATGTATTACTGTTCCTGTCTCTGTGAGTCCCAGGCCCTGCCTCAGGCTTCAGTGGGACACTTGGCTCCTGGCCCCTGGCCCCCTCAGCTGCCTTCCTGGACCCAGTGTCCTGCCTTTCTGCTTGGGGCCTTGTGGAGCTATCTGCTCTCCACCCCCAGGTCTGTTCACCAGCTAAATTTCCTTCTTGGCATCTTATGGTCTCTTCAGGTGCTCCTACCCTCTCACTCTGGCCACTTCTAAGTCCCTCCAGTACCTCCTGGGCTTCCTCCTCTACCACCTTCCCCGCAGTCACCTCCCCCAGTTCCTCAGCTGCCTGTGTCTGCCTCCTCTCTACTGTGGGGACTGTGTCTCCTATGAGGTAGGACACAAACGCACTGAAGGAGTCCTAGAAGAGAAGAAAGAAGAATGAAGGCACTCAGGGGCAGTCTACCCACTTCCCCAGGAGTACTTCATCAACAAAGCCCGGGTAAGAAATCAGGGATCTGGAAGTCTGCTAAGGGACCGAGACAAGGCCTCGCTTGAGTACATGGATGCGCTTGTGGAGGTGGGAGATTGAAACCCAGGAAAGACTGGGCTAGGAATCTGGCTGACTGTAGGAAAGGGGGCTCGAGCCTGAGGAGAGGCTCTCAGGGAGGAGGAAAGGTGAGACTACAAGGAATGGGTGGAAGTTTCTGGTATCTCTCTGCCCCTCTCACCAGTGCTCCCCTCAAAGCCTGATGTAGCCCAGGGAGACGAAGCCGGAGAAAGTCCATCCTGCCGGTCTCTGTGTGTCCAGAAAGCTCACAATGACCATCTGTCCCCACCCACGAAAGCAAGCCAGTCCTCCCTAGCACCCAAGACACTTCCTCTTCCCCTGCCTCTCCCTGACGTATCTCCACCCCAGGCCCTGTGCACCTCCCCCATGCTCTTGGGCGACTTCATGACAGACAGGGGAATGGCTTAGCAATGTCCAGGTGACTCAGACTCAGGTGCACATCTGGAAGTAAAGGGCAGAGGATCTGGCCAGAAAGGGGGGAAAAAAGTGGAAACAGGAGACCTTAGAATCGGGTATGGGGGAGGGGGCATGTGGCAAGTGCAGCCTGAGTGACTCAGGTCTTGTATTCACACCTCAGCCATTTCCGGCTCTTCCAAGCCACAGCCTTCAGTGAGAGGAAGCTAGGGTTTGTGGTTCCTGATTTATCTGAGGGGAAACAGTAGAAGTGCGGGTGAGACCAGTGGAAGTTCTGGCTTCCCATTTCCAATGCCGTTAAGATATTTCTGGGATGAAAGGTCTGGATTGGTGCTCCAATTCCCACATCCTCACCACAGTTATTCTTGTACTGTGATCATTTGTCACTCACGATTTACTGTGAGTTCCTTAAGGACAGAGGCTGCAGAATTTCTAAAGCCCTGCATGGGTGCTAAGTTCCTTTTATTCACTGGTTGAGTGATCTAGGAAGAGCACCACAAGAGGGCATATTTCAAACAGCAATCTTAATGACAGGTGGTCGAGAAGACCTGGTAGAATTGGGCAGAGGCTGCTGGAAGCCATAGCAGAGGAATAGGCTTGATAAAGAATGGTCAAGATGCTGTTGTACCATCAAACGGAAGGTAAGGGAAGGACTCCTTATTTGGGACTATGTGAGGTAACGTATTCCAACTGTCTTCTCAGCCTCATTCTCCTAACTTCCAATTAGGACAAACGGCTGACACCACAGAACAGGAAAAATGCTCATAGCAACTTGCTCAGTGAACTTAGCACCTCTGCTCTATTTCTTACTGCTGAGTCTCTGAAGTCAGCTAAAGGTCTAGCCTCTAGCCTCCGTTAGCACAGGTGGGAGGGGACCTTGGTTTTCTCATATGTGAAACCAGGGGTTGGACTACTTTCGTGGTATTTGTTAGTTCTGAGATAATATGGCAAAGGGAATTTCACAACTTCGTGAATATTGCCATAGATAATTCATAGAAACCTGTTCGGTGGGTGCTTATCTTTTAGCTTTCTAGACAATCTACTCTCAGCTACTTCCCAGATTCTTATTATAGGTCTTTACAATAGGTCTGCAAGGACTACAGATAAGAAGACTTGAGGCCGGTCGCCTTTGCTCCCAAGCGGAACTTGTCCTTGGGACGTTGGGTGGGGTAGTGGGACAACCATAGCAAAGTAGCCATATTTGTTTCAGGCAAGTAAGAGCAGCAGGAAAGAAGCTGAAGCCTCCCGCGCCATGACTAGTACTGGCAGATTTGGTCGGCGTCTAGCGTGCCGCTTTTCATGGCTCTATTTGTGGCTCCCTTCGGCTCCAGTTCAAAATCAGTGCTTCCAGGGATTCTCCCGAACTCTCCTTCTTTCACTCCCGGAAGTTTGAGAAGTCCAAAGACGAAAAGGAGAATAAAGAACCCGGAAGTACCGAGCAACCTCCAAGCACGTGATGGAAGACGCACGGATAATATCACGTGACCCTCAACCTGCTCTTCTACCTTGCGGAGAGTTCAGCTGCTCTTAAAGGTACAGGCTTGGCCGGGGGCTTTGCTTTAGAGGGGCGGGGTCAGACAGGTGGGACGTGGCTGAACACGAGCTGGAGATCTGGGCGTCTTTTGATGGACAGCAGTGAATAGCAGACAGTGGAACCTAGGACGGATCACTGGGCGTTGATCCTTCGCACCCACCTGTCCCTGACTTTCATCTGTTTTCTTGAAGCTAACTCCGAACACAGGCTGACTTTGAGCCCTTTGGGGGACCCGAACTCAATGTTATGGGAAGCTCTGCGGGCACGTGGAGGCGCCTTGAGGATTCCGAGAGTGAGTACTCTCGTCAGTTACCTTGGGAATGACCACCTCTGCCCCGCGGCTTTCCCGAGGAGTTGGGATGCTCGCCCTGTCTCTTCCACACGATACGGGATAGGCGGGCCCTTCGTGTACCCGAGTGAGTGGTGGGTTTTGCTTTCTCCTACCTCCCAGGGGAGGAGACCGACTCAGAGCCCCAGGCCCCTCGGTTGGATAGTCTGAGTGTCCTTTGGAAGAATGCGGTGGGCTTCTGGTAAGTGGTCTGAGAGTTGTGCAAAAGTAAAGTGCAATTGGAGCGAAGATGGTGAGAGCCGAGTTGTGAAAGGCAGTTGAATACACAGATACTGAATGAACCGTTAACTTTCCAAGTTCCATTAAATTGCCACCTTCACCTGTTGACCGGGTCCTCTTAGTATCTGTAGCGTTATTTATTAAATGTTTTCTTCCAACCAACTCAGTTGCAGCAACTTTGTTTTTTTTTTGTTTTCTTTCTTTCTTTCTTTCTTTCTTTCTTTCTTTCTTTCTTTCTTTCCTCCTCCTCCTCCTCCTCCTCCTCCTCCTCCTCCTCCTCCTCCTCTTTTTCTTCTTCTTCTTTGGCGCGGGGATAAGGTCTTCTTCAAACTCTACAAGCAGTAGAGGCTTGCTTTGAACTTCTAATCCTGCTTCGCCTTCCAGGTGCTGCAGTTACAGGCCTTGTGAGCACCATGCCCAGCTCACCCTTTGTGTTTGTTTGCAGTGCAAGGTATTAAAAGCAGGTCCTTCCAGGGCTCATAAAGTGCTGTACAAGTGAGCTCTGTCCTCAGCCAATTTGCTTTTTCCAAGCACTGAGGACAGCTCTGGGAGATGATAATAAGAACAATATGCTCTGCTATTATTTTGATTCCCTTGAGGTCAGCAGGTGAAAACTTGTCCCCATTATGCACAGGAATGCACTTGGTATTTCTGTTGTACCATAGTGTATCCGTGGATGACAAATGCGGGAGGAACAGAATTTTAGTGTAAGCATAGAAGTGATAGTGTTTATGAAGAATCTTGGCACTTGGCCATGAGCCAGTCTAATCTCAAGTTCTGTTTTGATAGTGGAGAAGGAAAAAAAAGTGGGTTTTTTTTTGTTTTGGTTTGGTTTTGTTTTTTGTTTGTTTGTTTTTGAGACAGGGTTTCTCTATGCAGCCCTGGCTGTTCTGGAACTCACTCTGTAGACCAGGCTGGCCTCGAACTCAGAAATCCGCCTGCCTCTGCCTCCCAAGTGCTGGGATTAAAGTCGAACACCACCACTGCCCGGCCCAAAAAAAAAAAAAAAAGTGTCTGAAGGATACAGGTAAGGGAGAGATCTTTGAGGACTGTAGGTGGACAGAGAATGAAGATCTGTCCTCATTCTAGGATCTTGGGTCTTTGCAACAATTTCTCATACGTGGTGATGCTGAGCGCTGCCCATGACATCCTGAAGCAGGAGCAGGCATCTGGAAACCAGAGTCATGTAAGTGAACCCCTTTCACCATCACCATACGTTTGTCCCCATGGGAATACTAGGGACACACTCACCCAGGGCCAGAGGTCCCCTTAAAAAGGTAGCTATGGGTGGGATCAGGGAGCTAAGGTCTTAGTCTCCCACATCCTCCTGTCGGAGGGATCCTAAAGAGAGCAACAGGTACCAGGTTGGTGAACTCAAATAACTGGCTGGGTAAGACCTTATTTTGTGGTGTGGTTTGTCACTGTGTCCTGTTGACATTTGAGGTCAGGTGACTGTTGTCAGTCTGTCCTGCATGGTGTAGATGTTTAGTAGCATCCCATGCCTCTAACAACCAAAAGTGACAGCCAAGAATGTCTCCAGATGTTACAAGTGCTCCTGGCAGGTAAAATCACCTGGTGGAGAGCTTTTTGAGTCAGTAAGCTAGAGCATGCAGTACCTAAGAGGCGGGGCCTCCACATTGCAGGTTCAATAGGGAATTTGACCCAAGCTGAGATTTTTCCAGAAACCCAGATTTCTATATGAATGCTCTTAAATATGGTACATCCATCTTGGGGGGCTATCTTTGGCCTCTGGGCCATTGGTTTGAGATGTTTATAAACACTCTCCTTCATTGTGGCCATAGAAAAACTGAGGCCCCAAGAAGCCATGCCTACCCACAGCTATTTGTGAAGTCTGGGCAGAGCTGGGACTGGGCCTTGCTTAGCCCCCTGTCTCTTTGTAGGAAAGACTCTCTTCTCTTCCATAGGTGGAACCAGGCCCAACGCCCACGCCCCACAACAGCTCATCTCGATTTGACTGTAACTCGATCTCCACAGCTGTGAGTACTCGTGTGAGGCCCCGTGGTCCATGCCTTTGCATCCTCATTCCCCTGCATCCAGCTGGGACTGTCGGGAATTGCAATGATCAGTACTTTCTGTGAATGGTAATTATTAGCTCTGGTAGCCGTCGTCACTGTCCTCCCCTCCCCCCCCCCCAGCTTTGTGAATGAGAGACACTGTAAGCTTCCCTGTTTGGGATGAGGAAACTGAAGCTCAGAGCATGTAAATACACCCTGACACCCATTGGAGGAGCCCCAGAGCTGAGAATGAACCGAGATCTATCTAACTCCAGAGCGTGGACTTGCAGCAGCTCCCACTGGCTGGCTTGTTTGAGAAGGTTGTCTCAGGAGGGTCTAGGCTCTTACTGTCTTCTCCTGTCTTAGGCGGTGCTCCTGGCAGACATCCTCCCGACCCTTCTCATCAAACTCCTGGCTCCTCTTGGCCTTCATTTGCTGCCTTACAGGTGTGGGTCGGGTTGGCAGGAGGAAGGCAGAGTGGGAGGAAGCAGGAGTCTGGAGAGTCTTGCATGGAGGTGTCCTTCTGAGTTCCTCCCCATCTCTTCGCAGCCCCCGGGTGCTTGTCAGTGGAGTTTGTTCTGCTGGAAGCTTTGTGCTGGTTGCCTTTTCTCAGTCAGTGGGGTTAAGCCTGTGTGGTGAGTACAAAGCTGTGTGATGGGCCCAGAGAAGCCTCAATGGAGTGATGTGGGGGTAGTCTCCCCAGCTTCCCAGAGTAAAAGGCTATGTCTGTAACCCCAGGAGACTGCTAGTGGTGTTGGTAT